TAGGGTAGTTTCCTCGTCAGTCTCGACAGAAAACTCTACTTTTCATGAGAAAGGTACGACTTTGAGAAAACTTGTTATTCAGGGCTCAAGATCTGTCGATGAAAACTAAAACTAATGTGAATTTGTAGAGACCTGAATGCTGTTTCAGAAATGTGTTTTTAGCAAAAAAGAACAAAGTTCAATTGGTATACAAATTCATATTAGTTTTAGTTTTTATCGACAGATCTTGAGCCCTGAATAACAAGTTTTCTCAAAGTCGTACCTTTCTCATGAAAAGTAGAGTTTTCTGTCGAGACTGACGAGGAAACTACCCTAACTGATCCAGTGCTTTCGATTCCATATTTTAGTCATAGGTAGACCTTGCTGCGATCATAATACTTGACCAAAATGCATCAAACTTACGGAATATACTCAACATAGCCTCATTAAACATTATCAACAGTCAAAATGGTCAAAAGAATTATTTTTCTCAATTCGATTTTCGAGAAAGTCGTGCAATAGCCCTGTCCTGCCAACAAAAAATCTTTTTTAATTTAGAGTAATGCCTGTATAGAGTATACGTGTCTGAGTATATTCCGTAAGTTTGATGCATTTTGGTCAAGTATTATGGTCGCTTGGAGTTTTTTAATTTACTATGGCTAAAACGATCAAATCGTATTTTCTTGAAAACTTTTCTTTCGAGCTTTTTCGCATTTTAATAGTAGAACAGAGGTCGCCACTGGATTCAGCTTGGTCGATAATCTATGTTCCTGAAACTGGTAGTTCTCAGATGATTTTTAGATCGTTTGATAGACCCATAAATTTCCTTCAGAATGGTAAAACCTGGACCTCTCTAGCCCATTTCGTTCAAATATCATCCAGAAAATATCCGAGCTGTTTGACGCCGACAGTAAATGTTTTTGTGTTAATAAACTACGTGTTATTTTTTAAAGAAATGTTTCTTTAACATCATTCTTTTCTTATTCAACAGGACAATTTCTGTGTCTGACTGGTTCATGTGACTGAGAGCTGAAGAATAAAATAGACGCAAACATATTTCTAATGTTTTTTTTTGATTTCTTCATCTCGAGATCTTATTTTGAATTTGTTTTTTTCTTTGTTTCTTTTATTCTATCGCTAATGCAACTACAAAATGTTAATATTTACAAATTTCCACATGAATATTGTAGAACGTTCGCAAACGTACAGATGTCTCATAAATATTTTCACTAAACATGATTTAGTTTGAGATGATGAATGATATTGAATTTCGTGGTTTACTCATAAGAATGCTTGATGACTTTTCGGATCTGGATCGACGTAAATTTCATTTTGCAGCTGGTAAAATAATTCCACGTTGTTTACGTGATAATTATACAATCGAAAATTCATTTACGGTAATGGAAATCATAATGACAAGTGACTTTCATCATCTAATTCAAGTTTTAAAACAAATTCAACGTGAAGATTGGGCTTGTATACTGACAGGTATAATACCTTCTCTTGTACGCGGCAATTGTTTTGATAATTTAACTAGTCTATTCGAAGGTTATATGCAGGATCATTCACCAATATCAATAACAAGTACATCTCTACCTGTTTCTAAGGGAAAGAGTAGTCTATATGAAATTTTAAACGATTCACAAGAAGATAGATGGAATCAAAATGATAAGATTAAGACAGAAATATATATGTCTGATTCATTAGAACTAGTATCATCGTACAAATCAAAATTCGAAAGAGGTCTTAATCAAATAACTGACGGTAATACAAGCGAGCTAGATCTTATAAAACGATTCATCCGTTTTCTTTCTTATAGTTGGAATTGCACTGAAAACAAAATTCATCCTTCATGAACGATTTCTTAAAAAACTGATAATGGTCATACTCATATTCAGTCTTATTTCCAATTCTCGACTACTTGTGAAGACATTATTAAAAACAGGTCCATGCAACTTGGGTTTTTATGACAAACATGATACGTATATTCTCGGTTTCCTTGACGACGTTGGTATACTCATTGACCCTTTCTTAAATATTGTTTCTGCTCTGATACAGAGTTTCGCACGGCTTGCCTGTTTTGCGGCTCTTTTATGCTGGTGGAACGGAACTTATTGTAATAAGGATAGCAATAGTCTCATTCTCACTACCGTATAAACATACAATTTTCCAGACAAGTATTTGTTTCTGTTACTGTCTTAGATCTTTCCGTATATCAGTACTTCGTTTCTGACCAGTAGTTGTTTTTTACTCATTATTTTTTTAGTGTATATATATATTACAGTTGAAATAAAATAAAAACAAAATAGGAGCGCACTTTTCTTTTGACATACATAGAAGATCTAGCAACGTCTCATTAGAAACAGCAACATATAACCTAAATGACATAATTTAAAAAATTCCATAATAGTAATCAAATAGAGAGAGAAGAAACACCCTTACAAATGTATCTTTTCTTAAAAGACTTTTGTACACGCAGAGACCAATAGGGAAAGTTAATTTCACGTAGTCTTTAATATTTTCCAAACCAACCATGAATGATGATTTTGAGAAAAGAATCCGGTAATCTGTACGATAAACACCCAAGAGGCTGTAGTGTTTTTTAATAGTATTAAGGTTCAAAAGTATCATGACTTGACGAAATATCGTTTATCAGATATGTTGAGGTGAAATCCCACCATGAACAGACTAACTCAATGTCATGGACGTCATAACTTATTAAGGTTTATCTCAAAATTCAGATTTGTCCATCGTTGCTCCACCAGCTTATCTAATTATACGAAAAACATCCTTTCCATGTCGTTTAATCTGTTTTCAAATATGATTTGTAAAACGTTGGGATTTAAATCTATTTTCAGTTAATTATGCACGTCTAATGTAACTGAATATTTATAACTAATGAAAACTGTACTTGTGAAAAGTATTTATCATTCTTTGTTTATTATTATGTTCATAGATAAAAATAATTTTATTTTTAAGGTGGGAGGAGGTCTCTGCCGGATGACATGTTCTTTTTTAGTACATACTGCGCAGATACAAAGTGTTAGGTCATAAACCAGATCCGAGTCAGAATTCTGCTCATAATCCTAGATTTTCCCTAACAGAACCTAACTTCTATGTAATGAAAATATCATATTTGGAATCAGGAGCAAAGACTGGGTCGAATGATATGTATTTTGAAATTATTAATTGATTTTCATGTTTTTCGAATTTTCACGTTGAAAAAAATTATGGAGATTTTCACCAAAACATGAAAATCACCTAATAATTTCGAACTACACATTATTCGACTCAGTCTTTGATCCTGATTTCAAATATGATATTTTCATTACATGAAGTTAAGTTATATTAGAGAAAATTGAGTTCACAAATTCACAAATATTCAAAACTTCACCTATGAGGAATTATCCGTTTTCCAAAAACTTTCGTTTTTCAGATCGAAGCGACTTTTCTCAACTCACAAACAGTTTCATTTGCACATATTCGCTATCAGTGTAGAAAACTACGTTGAATGATGTGTCTCTTGTTAGTTTTCTGTCCAAAAAGGAAGTTCAAACGTATGTGAGTAGGATATCATGTTGCTGAGAAAGAATGAAAAATGTTTCGCGAAAAGTCTAGAACAAAGCTCCCACTCAACGATTTTGATCTAGAAAAAATTATTTCTCGAGAAACTAAAGTTTCGAGAGTTTAGTAAAGCGATATTACGCAAAAACAAGTCATTTTGAGTTCAAAAAGTCGCATGTCCGCCTGCTTTATAATAAACTGTTCACTGTGTTATATTGCTTTATTAAACGTACCTGCTGCTCCTAGTAAAAGAACCTACTTCTGTCCGCCCCACAACAACTACCAATACTACGACTAGTACCGGAACAACAACAACCCCAACTACGACTCGTAACACTACTCCTCTAGGACCGCTGCCAACTCCATCGAAATATATTACATTGAAATTCGAATCACTTCTTGGTCATGTACAATCTAATGACATTTTCAATAGTAGCTTCACAATGTGGTTTTATCCACAGATGACATCACCGGATTGCAAAGGACTGAGAGTACTCTGATAAGGACCAAACAAATTATCCAAGAAGATACGGAGTTGAGGAATATTGGAACAACAAAAGTTCCTACTATTTTATTGTTAAAACGCCTGGATTAAAGAAATGCTCACCGATAAAATTATTACCATTCACCGCACTTCCTTACGTGTTTCATGCCATGGAAAAAACTGGATATTTACGAGCTCCAGAACCAAGTGGTTTCGATGATAGTAGAGCCGGTGGAGATGCAAGTGATGAAAACAGCTTGGAATGATTTAGCAACAAAACGATTGAACGAGCAGAGCAGTTTAGAAAGAGTGATGACGGACAGGGTAAGCAACATAGGAGCAGCAGCAGTGTTTCGTCTGCAAGGAAATTGAGTCAGCGTGCATATTTTTCATGTGGTCGCCGTAAGTAGATTCGGAGAGATTTTCGAAAGGAGGCGGCGAGTGTATGACAATGTATTGTTAACCTTACACGGAACTGAAAAAAAGAAGCACATATTCGGCATTACGAATTGACAGTTTTTCTAAATTAAACTTTTATTTTGTTACTAGAAAATATTAGTCTCTATGTCCCCTTCGGAACATTGAGAAAAAAACATTTGTCTAATTTCACTGAAAACACACCATTTAATTCAGAATTCAGCAGTGATCACGAGTATCTACTTTGATTTTTGTCTCATTTCCCTTCAATTCTAGAAGCGTATTCTATTCTAGAACATTTGAAATTGATATTGTGTTTCTACAACTGTTTTCCGACTGAATATCTAATCCATATGGTCTGTGCTACCTTACTGTTTTACTAAATGCAAAGAATGTACAATGGATACAATAGTCAACGGAACAATTAAATTGTTAAAATGCTTAGGAAATTTTATATAGTACATAAAGAAGAAAACACGGATTATGGAGATAGAACAAAAAAAGAAACATTATCAAGTTCTCTAATGTTCTTAATATACGAAAACCTACTTTAAGAGTCACTGCGTAAAAGGGACTTTTACAATAAGGGTGGCTTCAGTCTTGATTGAAACAGCAAGAGAAACGCAATTTTTGCATCAGTCGATAGAAAAATATTCGCTCTATCTATTTATCGAAAAAACGTTTTTTACTAACTAAGAATATGCTGAAAAACAGAAGAAAAGAATAAAAATTTTCTTTCTACTCACACACGTCGATATATCTCACATTCAAATATCTGGATGCTACGCCGAGAAAAGGTGGAATGAACTGCACGACAGAACTCTAATACATATATGTGGTCACTACAGAATAGCTGTTAGAAATGTACCAAAGATATATATTTCGTATATACTGCATTTCTTCGCTCGATTTCTCCCTACTCTACACATCGTAATCGACGAAAGAAAAGAAAAACATTTTTCTCGACAGGTCCAATTCGTTGCTACGTACTATTTAAAAGAAGAAACTCCATACGTGAAAAGTGGCGGGAAAGACATGGTACAACGAATACTTTTTATATTCGTATTGTTGTTTCTAATCGTACTGATCGTGTATCCGTACTGTTGGTCTAAAAAACATCATTGGATCTATTTTAACTCTACTTGGATTGGTATGTATCTACAAAGAAAGAAAATGATTTAACCTATGATGCAAAAGTAACTGAAGTTATTTTGAATTTGGGAGCTTTCTAATTATGTGTTCAGAAATATTCTATCACTTTTAGCCTTCTGACAGTGAGCAAATCTTTGTTATCACCAAAAAGTTAGGCCGTAACGATAAAAATTTTGAATATTTTTTCATCCTTTTTGGGTAAAAAATGATGTTCAAAACAACGCGAATAGTTTCCGACCGCTGTGTCGTGGATCCTACTTTAACATCTTATTGTGTAGAGAATTGTCTGTTCTACAATCTTATACTGTAAAAATATTTTAGTAATGTACTATAAAAAATTTATATAAGGAATACAAGTACTGAGAGCGGTGGAAGGGGTCACACTCTTTCGTGTTCTGGAAAAAGATATTTTCCGTCTGGCCGAGGGAACATTTTTTATTGCGTTCTGTTGCAGAAAGTAAGGGTAAAAAGAGTTTATCCACAAGAGACCTTCCTTGCTTTTTGATTTTGCTACATCCGTGACTTACATATGTCGAAAAATATCAGATTTTCTTTTTTTACAAACTTCGTTTTTAGGGCATAGCAAAGATTCGCTCATTCTGAGGAGACTGAAAGCGATAGAAAATTTTTGAACACAGCTCTTGTAGATTCTCAACAGAGTTTTTTCATTTTTCCGAAATGTCTTTTATCACAAGAAAAATGGTGAGACATTTCGTCCAATTACTTTTGCATCGTAGGTTATATTGTGTGAAATAATCCGTTTTTGCCTATTTTCGTGTAAACTTGGATCAGATCAGATCGCTAGTGGTGTTAGTTTATCCGCATGCGCAAAATTAATGCACGTACCGGCTGTTAACCTCTTTTTTATACAGAAATTAAGAAAAAACATTGTTGACTATTAAATTTGTCTGGATTAGGTTTTCTGAAATTGATTCATAGATCCGCTTGGAACGCTTGTGATTGGTAGTTATACAGCTTATTATGATTTATGAAGGAGTAATTGCCATTCATTGGCTTTCTATGCACCGTTGCTAAAGGGATGGACACAATAGAGGACTCGGATCTTATATCGCGTCCTAGCGCTCATAACTTTGAAGAGGGTCTTCTAAAGCGTCCCTAAAAAAAGCCGATTTTAAGCTGAAATCGCTTGATCGAGAGTTCGCACTTGTACAAAGCTGTGTATGCACATACTTCTTTTTGTCTAGCAGCTGTATATTCACTCTAACCCAGTTCGTCCATTCCGGCGTCAGGATCCTGCCGGATCCAACATCGGAACATGCTGGAAGTTGATGGAATTCGGTAAAATCCGGCAGCGACCGTACCGGATCATGCTGGAAATCCGTTGCTCGGAATCCGTGCCGGAAGATGTTGGAAAAGATCCGACATCTTCTGGCCGATGAATCGGATTTCGCTGGATTTGGCAGAATGTGATCAATTTTAAGGTTAAAAATAGTCTTAAATTTTTTCTTTCATTTTCTAGTGGTTCTTCTGTCTGTTCATTCGAGAGAGTGGAGGGGCCCGCTAGCTGAGACGTGTATAACACGTCCGTTGAACAGTGTGAGCGATGACTCACTTTGTTAAGAATTTGAGAAGAACAACTCCTCATTTTTCATTTTCTGCAGTGTCGTATTTAAAGTGCTCCTGTCCTGAAACAAAACGGTGAATATATTATCCGCTGGAAAGAAAAAAAAATAAAGTGCACATGACAGGATCCGTCGATTTCCGGTCACTGGAAATTAACGAATCCGCCTGGTTCTGGATATCTCCGGATCCTTCAGAAAAAAAATATCGGAACGTGAAGGAATTGAGCAGATCCCGATCTCCGGAAATCACCAGAATTAAAAGGATCCGGCAGGATCCGATCGGGTGAATTCGACCTGGGAACAGGTGAGGGAAAAGACGAACGCAAAGATCAGTGTTTTATCGTAGGAGGGTCCTCTGTTGTGTCCATCCCTGTACGCGAAATCCGTATATTACAGAAAAAACGTATTGTGGATAAGTGTTGCCCGATTAGAAAACGTGAAAGACTTGATTTTCAGCTAAAAGTATATTTAGAAAAGAAATTTGATCTTATTTCAAGGTAATTAACAAGTGGTACTACTATTGTTCACTTTTTGAAAACTCTCGTGCATGCGGATAAAATCATTTTCTGTATGTGTTTTTCTTTTCTGACGATCTGATGAATGGCCTTCAATAGAATTTTTAAAAGCAACAGAGGATACTTGGCTTTTGAAAAGGGCCTCTATAAACCTTTAAAAGTAGGAAGATTTTTTTTACGAACTTTAAGCACAGAATCCAATTGAACAGATAAAATAACTTTGTAGGTAGCTTGATAAGCTTAGTAACTTCGTAAGCTGTCTCCAACCATGAGAAAAAGAATGAAAAATATTTTTTCGAATTTCCGGCACCTTCAGCGTTAAGTATCGTTGATATTGTCATTTTAGTCATAAAAATCGTCTTACCACTCAACTAATAATAAAAGTTGTTTTTTTCGCAAAAAAATACCAAGACTCACCTAAAGTATTTCCCTTCGTTCATTTCGAGCTTAAATTTTATGTGCTACTGATGAGAATAAAAGTAATCTGTCATAAGGAAGAATACTGTATAGCTCGTAGAAGAAGAATTTTGGAAAGCTTTCACAAAACGTAATGTGTCTTTTGTCTATCTGTCTAGATATTTTTGTTGACCGTGATTACAAACCGTGTACTTATGAACGACCATTCATTAGTGTATGGGGTTGGGTATGTCTATTATTATCAGTTCTAGCTCCATTGATCTGTAATCAATTTTTAACAAATCATTTGAGTCAGATGAAACGCGCTAAATCAGGCTTCGCTCTTCATATACGTTTAACATGTATGTTACCATGTATATCAATGATATTGATTCATGTGAATGTTATGACAGCAATTTTTGAATATTTACACGTGACGGTTGGTTCAGTTTATATATCGACTAGTTTTATTCAATTATTGATCATATTAATGTTATGTCTCATTTCATTTTGGTTTGGATGGCAAACACAGAGACTTACCCAAGACGTTACTCAAGTAAAGCATTTTACTTGATAAAAAATCACTGCTTGCCGAAGAAAACAAATACTTCTCAATTTATTTGTGTTTTCGATTGTTAATCCTGAATTAGCGTAGCATCTTTATGTACTACACTTCTTTTTAGAGATATGCAACCCGACCTGTACCCTAACCCTTTGTTGACGGGCGTGGTATATATACCACCTCGAGTATTTTCTCAAAGTTGAGGAATGGTATATATTTCAAATCAATCAGGAGTAGAAACAGCCTGTAGGGTACTTTTCCTGTATTGATAAAGTAATCTTGTCAGTACTTCGAAGTATTAGAAAAATCCGAACATAGTGCATTTTAAAAAACATAGTGTATTTTAAAAAACTTAACTTTTTCGAAAAAAAACCCGCCAACAAAGGACTAAGGTTGGATATGGGTATAGGGTGCTGCAGGTTAAACCTAACCTAACCTATAGATTAGGTTAGGTGTAAGTTACGATTTCTATAGGTTAGGTTAGATTTAGGTTATGAAACTTTTTATAGGTTAGGTTGTAGGTTACGCCATTGATAATCTATTTTTAACCTAAAGGAAAAAAACCGATTTTGAGCGACCACTTTAAAACAGCCAACATTTTGAGTAATAAAGCGTAGTCCGAGTGAAATTTTGTCGATTGAGATAAATCAGACCGAGGTTCTCTAGTTTAAACTGAAAAATAGCACAATCAAAAAAGGAAGTCAGAGAAAAAACTTATGTTTGCTAAAGATAGATGGCGAATACACAACAATAACAGAACCTTCATAGCATCGAGAGCCTAAAGTAAAATTCTGGTCTACTCTTAAGAAGGTCTCCCTATTCAGAAAGCTATTTTTCAAACATTACATTAAAGAATAAAAGACTGAACCGATTCATTTCTATATTCATATGTAAAATGTGATTTATTTTGTGTAACCTTACCTTTCAGACAGTGGTTAGATGAAAAGCAATAACGATATGAAACAAAGCTGAAGTTTGGGCTTCTAAAACCAGGGTTTGGGGAAAAAATTGTAAAAGGTTGTATGAGGTTAATCTAGGTTAGGTTACGGAAAACATTAATAGATTAGTTCGTTAGTTAATAATACCAATACCCGAAGGGTGTATGGTGAAGATCATAAAAATATGGTTATGATAAAAACAAAAAACACTAATAGGTTGGGTTAGGTTTAGGTTACGAGTTTCGTAGGTTAGATTAGGTTATAGGTTGTCAAAAAGTCGCAACCTGCAGGCAGGAAAAAAGAATTACTTAAGAACGTAATGATAATTTGACATCTTCAGTCGAAAAACAAAATTTAGCTCGAAAACAAAAAGGAGAAAACTCTATAGGCATAAGTCGGGTACGGGTACGAAAATGGTATTCGTGCACATCTCTACTTCTTAGACCCTCCCCCCCCTCCTAAGAAATACTCTAAGTACTGTTCATCTAATGAGAGAAAAGTTTGGATGCGAAAGTCTTTCCGGGTGGGGTCAAAAAATTTTAAGATTGTTTAAGGTGTTAATTGACGGAAAAAAACTACATCAGACCTGTGAATATGAGATTGATCTGCGAACGGCTCGATTGTGGCTCTTATCGATCCCCGTCCTTTCGGTCTGTGATTGGTAGATTCTTCGTTACGTATTAGAGGATGTAAAAGCGCTATTGTATAGGATAAATAAGTAATAAGTTAAGAGTTAATCTGAGAAATGAGCATGCGTAGTGCTTAGGGAATGTCAATCGGTCGGGTGTTCGGTATGATCATGACGTCTTTCGACTATATTAAACTCAATACCACTGGTTAAAAAAATCACCATTAAAATGAAAACTGATCAAATGTTGATTTCAAAAAGTTAGTTGACCGAAAATGTTGAACTGGGCTTTGGAACTTGGAATGACCTCTACAAACTAATTTTATTCTCAGCTATCAATGTCGCTAGGATAGTTCTTACTAAAAGTGTTTAGGTTAATGCGACAGAGACTGTGTGTGCGATATTGAGTTATGGAGAATTGATGGATCGTCCGACTATATATTACTTCACAGTGAACTATGCACTGGTATGTGGACTGCGGTCGAAGTACATCCACTATAGTGATACTGATGGAATGAAAAACAATTCTACTTGGATGAAATTCATTGAATGAATATTTGAAATTAGAGAGAGAATTAAAGATGATTTTACTTTCCATTTTCATTTTTTTTGGGCCTATTGTCATTACAAAGATATTTTCAAATTTGCTTTTCAGATGTCATAGGTTATGACCATATACGCTTGCGACAAAATTCAAATAGTGAATATCTCGGTAACGATCGTACGCTCGAAAAAAATGAAAATGGAAAGTAAAATCGTATTTAATTCTCTCTCTAATTTCAAATATTCATTCAATGAATTTCATCCGAACAGAATTATTTTTCATTTCATCAGTGTCATTATAGTGGATACACTTAGACTATAGTTCACATACCACAGCAAGATCTCTACAATATTTCGAAAAAAGCTTCCTAGTTAAACAGAGTAGACTGAAGTATATCAAATCAGGAGACGGATTTTTTTAATTATTTCCACAGTAACGAAATCGTGTTGAATCAAAGTGTAGCAGATGGTACATATTACTTTCAGTTATCTGTCGTTGTAAAATTGTGAAAGAAGTCATTACCGCTAGTTAGTGCCACTGAAATCCCTTCTCAGTTGTCATACACGCCAAAAAGAACAACAAAGAAAAAAAATGTGAGGGTTACTTACGAAGATAAGAGCTGAAGAACATTCTGTTTGATGATAATAAACATCTACACGACTGTAAAGAAACAGAAAAAAGGTGGCAGCTGTTTTTATATTTGAATGAGAAAGAATGAATAATGTAATACGCGACCGATTTTCTACAAAAGCTTACAATGTCCTTGTCGTTTTTCAGAGCGTAAGTTAGACTGCTTGAACAATAACCGAAGTATCAACGATTTCATTCTCTAGATTGTTCCGTGGTAAAGGCAATGAAGATGTACTATTACTAAACAACGACACCAGTCATCCATCGTTTGGTGCAATATCGACAATTCAACAGCAACCGCTACAACAAGCGCGAATTGTGAGCAAACATGGCGATATCAATTTATCCAGGCGGCATATTAAGAATCGTAAACGTCAATTTTTGGCTGATATATTTATAACACTAATCGATTTAAAATGGAGCTGGATTATTAGTTTATTTGTTATCACATTCATTGCCAGTTGGGTATTATTTGCTATCATCTGGTCTTCACTCATGTATTTTCACGGTGATTTTGCTTTTGACAAAAATATAAATTCGACCAGTTGTATTCAAGGTGTTCATACACTTGCAGGTGTATTTTTATTTTCTCTCGAGACTCAGCAGACGATTGGCTATGGTACTCGAAGTATCAGTGAAACATGTCCGGGTGCTATTCTTATTCTGATTTTGCAAGCATTATTTGGTTTAATCATACAAGCATTCTTGCTTGGATTAATTTATACAAAATTATCACGGCCAAAGAAGCGTAGTGAAACATTAATGTGGTCACATGAAAGTGTCATATGCATGTGTGATGGACATCTGTCATTACAAGTTCGTCTTGGTGATATGCGAAACCGATCGAACATTGTCGAAGCTCACGTTCGAATGTACTTTGTACAAAAACGCGTGACACAAGAAGGTGAAGTTTTACCACTTCATTTAGCTGACATGAATGTTGGATTTGATAAAGGTGAAGATCGGTTATTTCTCATTTGGCCCTTAATCATAGAACACCGAATTGATCAAAATAGTCCGTTGTGGACAATGTCAAAAGAAGATTTAACTCGAGGAGACAAACATTTTGAAGTGATTCTTATCCTTGAAGGTATCATCGAACCAACCGGAATGACCACACAAGCTCGAACGTCATATCTACCATCGGAGATCAAATGGGGTCATAGATTTGAACGTTTAATCGATTTTAATGAACATAAACGTGTGTATGAAATTGACTACTCAAAATTTCATGTTACATATCCACTGATGGATGACGCGCAAATACCGTCGTGTAGTGCAAAAGAACTGTACGAAAGAAGAAAACAAAATCTATAGACTAGTGGCAGATCAAAGAATGGAAGATAAAGTTGACGCTCTTACAGAAACTAATTTAATATTGTACTAAAAAAAATTAGCTATTGTAAACAGTTCATTTTCGTAATCGACTAGAAACCATGACTGGTAAACAATACTGAGAGAAAAATCTATCCAGACATACAGTGTTGCAAACAAAAGAGGTAAAATTTGATCCAAACAATCGATATTTTCTGAGTTTTGGAGTTTAACTACCAAGCTAAATAAGGCAGTGTTGATCCGATCCCCAAGCAGGCCCCTTTGAAGGTAAAAATAATTTGGTTTGGCTGAACAATCAGCTAAAAATCACTTGAATGAGCCACTCTTTATAGCTCGAGCTATAGTATGAGAGGCTCATGGAACTCAGGTTTTCATCTCTTTTAAGTTACATTCAACCTCGAGAGGAGACTGAGGAACTTTCGGTTCTCAAGTGTCTATACTTCGACAGAGTAGATAAAATTAGCTGGATTTTGATCATCAAGCAAACAGAACTCCAAAAGAAGTCGTTTCAAAACACTTTTATCTAGTCACCATAAAAGAATCCAACTTTTCTCTAGTAAACATGCTAGACAGATTTTCCAGCAAACTCCGCTGCATGTTTTGTGCACTAACTGATCTTTTTCACGCATCCATTTTGTGTACAAAGATACCAACATTGATGGTTGGATATTGGACCTTTGGCACACATATACCGAAAAAAATGCATGTCTAGTCGTTCCATATGCTACAAAATAGACTGGACAAAATCAGACTGTTCATTGCTAACGGAAGTCATGTTCGAAACTACTTCCTGTGATAAGGTGTTCAGTGTTCACCAGAATCACTAGAGCTCACAGCTCGGCTTGTTTGAATGTCAACAAATACTCACTGTTCTGTGCCGATACTAAATGGTCACTAATGGTTAGAACTATCACCAAATTAAACATTATACTTTGAATAAGTTGTACTGAAGAACGATTGGAGAAAGGAAATATGACAACTCTTTGAAGTAACACATCTTTCTTGCTTTTGAAAAAATATAACTTTTACCTACTAAGATAACGGCATCATAAAAAAGTAATCTGAATACAAACTCTCTTCAAGTACTGGAATGGTAGTTTGAGTAATTAACAGGGACCTTTGCACTTTTTGCTCTCTTATATTATTCATTTGCTAACACCTAAACGTTTAGAGTACAAAGAACACTAAATAAAACCTATCAGTCTATATAACTGAGTAGGCAAAGAGCGTAAACTACAATATTCATCCTATCCAACATACACGTATTAGTGTTCAAGTTGTTCAGTTTAACATTTCTTTCACCCATAGCTGATTGACGTCTAACTGTGAGACAAGACTATAACGAACGACATGTGCAGATTCACCTCTTCGTTTGTTATATGCCGCAATTTGTTTCAGTTCTTGTTGTCGTAAAAAGCTTTTTCTCGTGAGCACTAATGTCGGGTTTCTTATCAATGTTATTGCCACACACCATTTTTGAACAATTCTCCAGTTATATATTTTCTGCACTGTTGTAACTCCAGCTCGTTTGACTTTCATTCTCAAATAGAGATAACTCGTAAACCAGAGTAGCACGGGATGTGAATGTTCTCGTTCCATATAAATGAAGCCGACATATGACGAAAATCCCTTGTCGAGGTTTTCCAATTTTCGTCCGAGCGGTGAATAGTCAAGACGACACATATAGATCATGGTGGCGATGCATGTGCAAAAAATGCGAATTACACACGAGACGAAACCGAGAATGGCATCGAGAAAAAAATTGAAGTAGAGATAAATCATCAACCATCGACGATTGTTGACAGCAAGTGTAGTGCCCGAATGTTGAAGAAAAACATATTGAGCTAGAAGTTTATTTAAATATCCTTTAAAATAGATCAAGAGAAGAGGTGGTATGATTTGTCTTAAAATTCTTTCAATGAAATGAAATGAACCAAATTGGATAATGGCAGTCAACAACAGAAGGCCGATAAATGCTAGGAAAACAACGGATAAATAGCCCCAAAGAAGATAACCAATAAAATAACCTGAAAAATATGATAAATTACTGAGTTAGAAGAAAAACTATTTTTCATTGAAACTAATACCTGCAAAATGAACATTTCCCGTCGAAGTGCTAACATTTTGTAATGTTTTACGATGCGGTACTTCTGTATCGTCACCTCGATAGACTTGAAGTAAATTTCGTCGAATGATTACTAGTTGAATAGCCAATTGTAGACAAATCGCCGCTGCTGCTAGTAACACGGCACAGATAAACGGTGCAGTCAGATTCGGCACAGGAAAAGCATTTTTCAAAAATATGAAATCGAACCATTCTTTAATCGTTGCACGAATTTGTTCGAGTACAGGTAGATAAGTAACAATAAGATCGATTGAAATGACAAATAGAAACATTAACACCGAGGAGTAGAGACATATAATTCGTGTTGAAAAACGGAAATCATCACGAAACTCGTATATTTTCGTCGGTACTATTCTCGACAATAAAGCACGACTACTTGGTCGATATTTTGCTGGTATAAATAAATTTCGAACATACAACGCTTCAACCGAATATTTCATGTATGATATCAATTGTTTTTCTTCACGTGTCATTTTATCCGACGAATGGAAGAGTGATGAAAGAGAATGTTTGTTCTTGTAGAATAAACGAATTTTTCTAATTAGATACACGGGCAGTTTCACACAAATATATGCCATACAAATGTACCGTGGAATATCTTTGCATAATTCAATGGTGACCAATGTTGAACCCGTTCCATAAAAGAAAAGTTGTATTTGGAGCCCAGCAGCATCCGTTCCATTGGTTTTGAAAAATTTGTCACGTGTCGGATACGAGTTTTTACACAAACTTTGATAAACAATACTGACAGAAAAATCTAACCAGGCATACAGTGTTGCAAACAAAAGAGGTAAAATTTGATCCATATAGACGGCGGCTAACAGTGGATAGTACCGAAAACCAATAACCAACACGCGAAAGATACGAAGTAAATATCGAATGATAACACCTTCGATGGAGAAAATTTTCTTCTTAGGTATCGTTAATTACGATAGAACGACCGATTCTATAAACCGGCCGGTGATAAAAGCGTTCGATTTTCGTTCGATTCTTGAAGCCTTACAAAAGGAGAGGTTTGTTGGACTGCAGCACATTCGCTTAGGTGGTAGTCAAACAAAACATTTATTTTGATGTTTTTCCAAAAACCATTGATGTTCAATGACAAGTATGAAACGTGATTATTATCCATTTCAGAATAGAAAGCGAATTACGGCAACTTGAATAGCTCACAAACAGAAGCAGATAGCGATCTGCGGTTTTCGATATTTGCTAGTGGATAGTTGGAGCTATAGTTCTATAGAAAAGCCCATCTCTCGAATAGGTTTATCACTGTATATCATTCGAAACAAGGTGTCCTAGCCCACCGTTTCAAACACTTAGATAGCAAAGTACTGCTCTAAACACATGTGGATATACAAGAGATGTTGCTCTACAACTTGACGTACGCTCCAAATCTTCATATACCGTGGTTCAGGCGCTAGAGGCAATCTCCGGGAACCTACCTACCGACTAAATCTGCAGTCCTACAACCTTAAAAACACATGAAACATAGGTTTTCGAACACGGAGAACCTCGTGGTAATGTCTGTTTTATTGTCTAGAATAAACAAACTTCAGAAGATGACTTTTCAGAAAATTCGATTTTTATGCTGCTACCGTATTGAAATAAAAACCTTCTAGTGCCCTCATTTCTGAATCAAGTTGCATGAAAGTTGAAAACTGAGCATTAGTGTATGCGTTCTATCCGACATGACGATCAGAAGCGCAAAAGGCAAAGCGGATCTTCGACAGGTTTTCCAGAAAGCCTCTAAATATGTTTAGGTAAACTCTCAGTATAAGAAATCATTCTTACATTCTTAAACTGTACAGCAGACGAGACTAAGTTAGCTTTGAAAACTTGAAGTAATTTGGTTAAGAAATGAGGATGCTAGCAGACTTTTGTTTTAGTACGGGGGCAGCATAAAAATCGAATTTTCTGAAAAGTCA